TTGATTTATTGTAGAGATGAGGTTTCACCATGTTGTCCAGGCTGGTCTCGAACCCAAAGGCTCAGGTAATCCTCTCGCCTCCGCTTCCCAAGTGCTAAGGTGCGGGTGTGAGCCACCGTGCGCCGGCTAGAGAACATTTCAATATGAAGCAGCTGGAAGCCCAGGGTACAGAAATGGCCTGTAAAGAAATTAGGATGGAAACCTCGAAAACATTTGTGTCTACATGAATGAACTGGCCAACAAACTGAAGCTTAGCCACATGCAATAATTAAAGGACAAAGTAAGACAGCATTTTCACAGGCAGGAAAGGGTGTGAGGGCGGGAGAGAGGGAAAGAACTAACACTTGCTTAGTCTTTGTTATGCAAAAGCTGCTTTGCAGTTGTTGATTTCGTTCTCATGATATTCCTGCAAGGCAGGGATTATATCCCATCAGTTAGATGAGGATTGTAGTGGTCGTCATGCCTTCTTTGAACCACCCCAGCATCACGGGTCTTGCCCGGGGGAGCCAGTGCCAGTGTTCCCTTCTTTCCCTCCCTGGGTCCGTTGGTGAAACCTCCATCTCACCCGGGTCCTCTCACCCCTAAACATTAGCCAGGAAAAACCCTAATGCACAACTGGGATATTGTATCTCCTCTCTCCACTGCACACCAAATTCAGGTCCAAACCTCACAGTGTAGCTCTCCAGATTCGCGTCTCTGGTTTCCACCAAGTCTCCTAGCCCCAACTCTCACCGCCCTCCCGAAGGGGACCGTCAAGCTCCGCTCACAGCAGCGAATATTCCTTAAGTGCCTACCACACCAGTTCACACATCTCTCACAGCAGCCCACGTGGGAGATGTTGCTGTTCTCATTTTACAGGCGACGGCTGCAAGGGCCAGGGAGTCCCTGTGACAGCGCTAGAGCTCAAACGGTGGCAGGCTGGAGTCCAGGCTGCACACTGTCCCAGCTGCCCATGCTGCGGTGTTGCCTTTGCACCTGCTGTTCAGCTGCCTACATGCCTCCTCTTCCTCGCCTTTACTTCCAGGGGGAGTCTCCTTGGAACTCCAACGTCACACCTTCGTCACGCCTTCCAAAGCCGTTCTGCAGCGCTCAGCCCTTGAGATGGCTTTTTTCATTTCCCTGGATTTGCCTCGGTTCTCTCACATAAGTTTGTAGGAAGGAACTGAGCCCCGCCCCTCCCACCCACTCAGGCCCTTCATCTTGGCGGATGCTCAAACAGGTGTTATCAGAATGCGGTCAAGGGCAGTACCCTATGGCCTTCCCAACCCCCTGGCCATGCACACGGCTACCGGTTCGCTGTTTGTTAGGAACTGGGCCACACAGCAAGAGGGCAGCAGCGTGTGAGCAAACTCCGTCTGCTGTCAGAGTAGCAGTGGCATTCCATTCTCATAGGAGCATGCGACACCCCTGCTCTGAACTACGCAAGCGTGGAATCCAGGTTACACGCTCCGTATGAGAATCTAATGTCTGATCATTCCCCCCAACACCGGCCTGTGGAAGAATTGTCTTCCATGAAACCAGTCCCTGATGCCAAAAAGGCTGGGGATAACTGCCCTACGGTGTCTGGTATTTTGTCTAATTCTCACCCAAAGCCACCCCGGTAGGTGTCTCTACGGAATGTCAGGGCTGTACCCTTGCCCCAGCAGTCAGTACTAGATGAGTTCCTCCTTGCTGGCTTCTCCTGTTTGCACTTGAGGACACTAACAGCATCCTTTGGGGAGACAGGGAGAAGGACGGGCTACCTCGGCCAAAGGTAGAGCCCGTCAGAGCACGCAAGTGCCTGGCTGTGGGCTGAGCAGAGCAGCACTGGCATCCAGGCCAAGGGTGTGGACTTACTAGTGATGGCTGACTCTCTCCTGAGCTTCTACTTCCTCACTGTGACATCTGGGTAATGTCCTTTCCAGAGATGCTGGGAGACTAAAGCAGTAAAAGTACATATCTTGGCTCTGGTCCTGACTAACCTGGGTCTCAGACTCCTTTCCTAGTTATCTTCCTCAGTGCATGCTCTGAGCAGGATCGAGCCTGGCAGGTGTCTGTCCCTGTTCTCGCTTGTAAGCTGGAGAAAAAGAACTTCCTGTAGTGCTCCTCGGTCAGCAAAGACAAAAATCCCAGCGGTTCCTCTGACAGTGCAGCTGGCCTGATGCCGCGGCTGTCCTGTGCAGTGGGCACGGCAGCGGCCCTCTGCTGGGGAGATGGGGAACGTGGAAAGGCTTCTCCAGGAAGAAGGCTCCTTGAGCAGTTTAATGGCCTCAAGCCCCTGAAATCATGACTTTCCGATGGGGGAGAGAGGATGCGTGAAGACAGGTACATCCTGAAAACACGATTTTTCCGGTGTCTCATACTCTCACCCCCTTTTCTGACGATCTCAGTAATGGTATCAATAGGTTTTGCTTTTAAGAGCTGACTGCCCATTCTGCACTTAATCCTTGAGGATACCACTCCGTTCTCCCTTTCTATGGATGAGGAAACTAAGGCAGGGTGGCAAGTCATTTGCTCCAAGTCTGACTCCAGAAACTGATGCCCTGGGGGGGGGGGTCTGAGGACTGTCATTTTTGTCTTTCTCAGCAGTGGACACTCCCCCTCGAGGCTCTGAGATGCTAAAGGTCCCATTTCTCCTCCCTCCAAAATCTCCAGATCCAGAGCAGCTTCTCTGACCTGTCCCCAGAGGTGATGGGCTTGCCACGAGCTCTTTCTTCAACGCATCCTTGCCCTAGATTTTTCAAGTCCCGTCCTTGCTAGAAATCCCCCATTTTCCTGGTGCTCAGTAGCAGGGAGGACACGAATGACAGCAAGCGGACGTTTCACACACAGAGAGGGAGAAACCAAACCTTAGCAGTCATATATGGGCTCTTATGAGCAACAAAACGCCACTCTGAATGACTTCATTGGAAGGAATTAACTGAAAGAATATAAAATGGCTGCAGAACCAGGCTTGCAAAGCAAGCAGGAACAAAGGCTGGCAGACGGAGAGAAGGGCCACAGCCAAAGTCACGCCACACACCAAATCACACTGAATCTGGCGTAAGCACGGCTGTTGCCTGGTGCCACAGCTGGAACCACCCCATTCCTGAGGCAGCTGCCTCTGGATCCTGGATGAGGAAGCCACTGCCTGTTTCTGCTCCTGATTCCAAGTCTGGACAGGTGCATGATTTCATCTCCTGTGCCAACACCAATCAGCAGTGACTGAAGAGAACACCGTTGAGGCTTTGCCTGGTTCAGGGAGGTGTTCTGGGAGGTGTGGGTGCCGCAGGTGTAAGGCTTCCTATAGCATGCTTCATTCCCACATAAGGCATTCAACACAACACAGCTGTTTCCCTTTCGAAAGCCCAAACCTGTGTCTCCTCTGGACCACCCTAGTTTGTAGACATACTAACACCGTTTCCTGTGCTGGGTATTTTCACTTTGCAACATGAGAGCAGAAACAGTAAGAGGCTGCTTGTGTGTGGATTCTAGTCTGGTTGTTACCAACCTAGTAGGGCATGAGAATCACCCAGAGTCCTCCGCTCTGCCGAAGACCTACTGAATCAGAAACTCCGGGGGATGGGACAGAAAGATCCTACTCCACTAGAACCCAGGATGCAGATTTTCCAGGCTTATAAATAGCTGGAACACTTGTCTGCAACTGTGTCATTAGGAAAACATTTCAATTGCTTATGACTACCTTCTCTATCTATAACCACCCTAAGAGGGACCTGGTCACGTTGCGTCCTCTACAGTTTATAGCACCTAACAGACTTTTAATTCATGATGAATTAGGCTACTCACAGCCACACTGCTGTTGCCCCCCAACACTGAGCACAGTGGCCCGAATTCCAAGGGATCCATACTGTCAGAAGTCCTGTCTGGAGACCAAAAGGTCCAAATGGGCTCAGAGAGTGAGATGAAGCCCCTGTACCTGCTGCTGTCTGGCTGCAAGCTTTTCATGCAGATGCACATACGGCTAACACACACAGCACCGCACCAGGGCTCTGTCCTAAGCACTTGATGTGCTTCTCGCTCGAGTCTCGTCACCTTATTGAAGTAGGTGATATCACTTCACTCATCAAACAGCCCAGAGGTTAGTAATGGCACAGATGGAATTCGAATGCAGGCCTTCTAGTTCCAGAGCACTCACTTCCAACCCCTACAACATTTTCAGATGTGGTTTTGGATATCTTGAATTCAGGTTTATTCATACAAAGCCAGCGAAGACTAAAGAGATTAGGCATAGCTAAAGCTGATCGTCACTTGCTGCCTAGAGGACCCTAAGACTTCCATCTGCATGTAGTGATCTGCTTGGCTCCCTGACGATTCTGCCTACTAACCGTCATGGATGAAGTCACTTAATCCCCCTTATCAACCACCCACATTTGCCACCACCAACTGGGCTGTTAGCACAGGAATCACAGCCCTTCTTGTACACACGAGCCTTGCAGATGGTGCTGCCCTGACCCTGTATGCGATTTGGAACATCTCGCCGCCAGAATCACACATAGCACCAAGCAAGCACAGCAGTCCTTCACCCTTGGGGAGCTCTGCTCCAAGAGCCCCAGGGGATGCCTGAACCCATGGAAAGTACTGAACCCTATACTTACTATGTTTTTTCCTGTACGCACACACCCATGATTAAGTTTAATTTGTAAAAAATTAGGCACTCTAAGAGGTTAACAATAAAAACCAGAACAATTCTAGCAATATACTGTAATAAAAGGTATATATAAATGTGGCCTATCTCTGGAAATATCTTACTGTACTTACCTACTTTCAGAGCAGTTAACCACAAGCAACTGAGATCATGGGTGGGGTAGACTACTGTTGGCCTGAAATAAGCCAACTTATTATATATTAGGACAAACCTTTCCACCTTCTGTTTATACACTTTTTTCATCAAACCTCTGGAGACAAACTCATACTGGAGATCAACAAGGCAAGTAGGGGCACTAGACATGTGAAAACAGGGAGCTTGGGACGAGCACGACCCCAAATCCCAGCAGACCAAGCAAGGGTCAACACAGTATAAATAAAATACTGATATAATTATTTAATGACACAGAAAAATAACATGCTATGAAACTGGCTACAAGTAGTAGATAGAGGACGATTTCATTTTTGATAAAAAATTAAAAAGTATGAACATGCTTGTAAAAACGTGGAAAGTTAGATACCAAAATATCAATAGTATTTACGTCTGTTAAGTGGTTAAATATTCTTCCCGTTGTCTTTGTGTAGTTTAAAAACATGATTATTTATAAACAAAAAAGAAAAACCAGATCCCAGAGAAAGTCAGTTAACAAATACCAGGAGTTAGGAATACAAGAAACCAAACCAGGAGTTAGCAGTTAAGGGCTGAAACCCAGGACAGGTCCAGCCAGGGTGACAGTGGTCAAGTCCAGAGGCAGCGTGTTGTTCTTTCCTTTTTTTACTGGAATGTTACTTGTTCGACTGTTTCCTCCACATCTGATGTTCTCAATGTACTTACATTTAATGGGCTTCTATGAATGTGAATTGGCACAGCAGCAAGATGATGCTAGCAACTTTGGTTCTAAATTGCTACGAAATGTAACTATTTTGTAGTTATGTACTACACAAAACACACTAGAAATCAAGTGCTTTTATAACAAAAAAACCCAAGTAACTAGACAACTGACTTTGCTGTGTTTTTCTGACTTCTGTTCAATTTTCACTGCATATCTATTTTTTTCTTTCATGGATCTGGAAGAGGTAATTTTCCTCACAAAGTTCTCATTAATGCATGCTGGGCACTGCCTGATGGTTTGGTTTTATGTCTGACAGTTTGGTCGTGTCTTCTGAGTACTCTGCAAAGTTGAAAGGGCTTGCTAAGACCCAAACCACCTTGAAATAAATTGGAATGAGGAGTATCACCACTCTTTGTTTTTTAAGAGTCTTTGCTAAGTTACCAAATAAAGAATTGCAGTGTATTGGTATAAATGAGCTCAAAAATCTCAATACCACCCTCTGCCTTCTCCACACCTCTCCTGCCAAATGCTGACTGCTGGGACACATTATCCAAATAACAATAACAAATAATCCATAGTACTTGCTCTTTAAAAAAAGCTCTGTTTTAAAATTAAGAATACATAAAAGTGATACCACCTTTATCCTGAGATGCTTGTTTCTCAGGCATTTCCCAAAGCTTTTTGGCCTTCTGTACTGCAACATTTTCAGGAGGTGTCAAGAGAAGTGCCACGGTCTAAGAAACAACTAAAAACAAAAAGTAACCTGAGACTGTTTTCTGTATTACCACCACCTGCCCAGTATACTAGGCCACGCTTTACAGGAATAATATAGCAATCCACACCACAGAAATCTTCACATACCAGGAAGGAAAGGTATGTAAGGATTATATTAAAACAAGGACATACATTTTTGTGAGGGGAGAGTATGTAAAATTAAAATATTGTATCATCACAATAGAAACCTTACTTTGCCCTTGAGCAATCAAGAGAAATTAAAGCCTGTTTTAAATTTCCAAAATAAAAGAGACTTAATGGAAGTAACAGTGCTCAATGCTTGCAACCCAAGACAATACATACTCTTGTTACATCAGTCCAAATTCTAAAGGCTCCAAGATCCCTAACAAGAGTTTTTTTCCAAGGCAAAGTTATTCAAAATGAAAGGACGGTATGTCTTCAGTGGGAAAACTGCCTGGTGTCAGATGATTTCTTGCTGATGTGCTTGAAGATTTTGGACTTCTCAACTTTCTTGGTTTTCTGGTAGCCAAACCCACCGCCACCTCCTCTTTTTTTGAGCTTGCCATCATTGCTGTTCACGTCTACAGGTGTATGTTAAGGAAATCAAGCAGCAGAGATCATGAACTTCAAATATCCACACAGAGAAAAAAACCAGCATGCATACTACGTCCCTCCACTACCAACCCCTCTCAACAATGAAAACGAGGGAATATGAGCCTATGCAACAATTTCCAGAAAATCAGAAGTGGCCAAATGATTGTGGGCTAAAATTAGCAGTATGATTTTGAAGTTCAGCATAATTGTATAATTAAGTACTTCCTCCACACGATGAAAATTTATGACAATGAATGATAAAATGATAAGGAGTTAAGAGGTCAACCAAGAAGTTTGTAGGAACACATTATAAAAAAATAACCCCAGAGTCAAATGACCCCCTTGGGAATGAAATCAGGAATGCCTCACCTAGTGAAGGCGCTATTCTTCCTTTCACATGATTAACATGCACTAATCACAGTAGATGTTTCCTCAATGCCTACCATGAGAATGGTGACCCCAAATTTGGTCTCCGGCCCCCTCAGCAGTTACTGCTACAGCATTAAAGAACAGGCTTCGTTTTGGCCATTCAAGTTGTTCTGAAAATGCGAGAAAGCACACATACATTACAACAGAACAACTAAGGCCTTTTATCTTGGGCAACACCTGGAGTTTTATTTTCTTTTGCTGAACTTGGCACTTCCTTATGCAAAACGCTTTCAGAGCATTAAAAGAGGATTAAAACTCTGAAATGTCCCATCCTCTCTTTAGCTTCAGAGCACCCTGGTCCTCTGGGCACCCTCTGCAGTGCAGCCACAGAAGTCATCTGAGCTGTGCTTTAGTTACAGGCTGCCTCTTCCTCTAATCTCATCCTGATGATTAATCTCCACTTACTCCATCCTACCTCTACATCCTGCACTAGCACACAAAAGCAGACAATGACCAAGACGAACACCTGAGCCGCCAGTCCACAGCCAGAGGCAGGCACCAACCCACTACAAAGTCCCAAACGTCCCTCCGTCAAGCTTTTGTCCCACTGTTCCAGGATGACTTCATAACAAAGAAAAGGATACTCAGATCAACAAAAGGAGGCACCTTGAAACCAAATGACAAAGCAACCTGAGGCAAATTTAAGTTATTAACATTAAAAATCTGTTTCAGAGAATGGGAATCATAGGCTCGTATGTATGACTTATATGCTTCCTGGGCTGACTTGTGAAGAAAGTAGTTCTTTTCAATCAATTTTTCAAGCTGAAATAGAAAAAAAATGTTTTTAATAAAATAAACAACAACAAAAAACCCTTTATTCTAATACACTTGCTCCAGGCTCTGTATCATTTGCAAAATCACGCTGCAGTAAGGACAATGCCAAAGTTCTTTTAGGGGTAGAAGGAGAGGAGGAAGACAGTACAGCACTGTGATAATGAGCACCGCAAAAAACCTTGAAGACCATACAGTCTGACTCCCCATGTCAGGACAGGGCAGACTCGGAGGACAGTGAGTGCCCACTGAAGCACTCAAAAGGCCGTGCTGACAAGGTTCCCTCTTACTCACAAATGTTTAAAAAACACATACCTGAGATTGAATGTCAGAAATTTTAGACCAGGAAAAGTCAAATTCACTTAATGGAACCTAAAAACAAAAGTGTTGAGATTAGTAAACCAGGATGATCAACATTCAGATATTCAGATGATCAGATAAAGACAGGGAAGGATGGCCAGGCCTGTGGAATTCCCTCAGGACAGATAGCAAAATCTGTTTTCTCTAGTTTCTCAGTGTCAGTGGAAGTTTCATCTTTGTTCTGTTAAGACAATCTACTTCCTTCTTTCTGGGAGGAAAGGCAAAGAACTGGACAGAAACAGAGTTGGAGGAAGCCCTTTTCTCTAAGAATCTCCATAATCCTGATTATTTGGAGCAGTGGAACAGCTGGAGGCTTCTAGTTGGAAGGACCATTTGCCCTTTCTCTCTGTATCTGAAGAGGGGCCCCAATACCACACAGCCCTGTGACTGGAGTTTGTGACACCGGAGGCAGCGATAAACACAATCTCCTACAGGGCGGATTTGCATCATTATTCATTAGATAACTGAAAAGCACCAGGCCTGTGCTAGGTGCTGGGGAAAAAATAGGTATCCAAATCCTGAACTCTGCCCTCAGAGAGTTTACAGTCTTGTGGGGGGAGACAGGTAAGTAATGAAAAAGAGGCCACTTATGGTTCTATCGGTTCCAAAGCTAGATTAGGCTGGCCAAAGTTAGGTCAGGCTGGTAGGAGATCCAGTGGGAAGTAACTGGGAAGAACACAAACCATTTTTCCAAAAAGACAAACTGAAGAAAGGCAAGAGGCAGTAGCTATCCTGGAGGCAGTGGTGAAGAATGGGTGGAGGAGGAGATCGAAGGCCAAGAGTTGAACAGGAGGCAAAAGAGCAAAGTGCAGAAGCAGCAGTGAATGGGGATCTTTGTCACGTGAGGTAAGAGAGACACCAGGATGAGTGGATGAAGAGAAGATTACAGGAAGGGGAGCAGGAGTAGAGATGACCAGGTGTACCGGAGTTCAAAAGGAGTAGAGAAGGACTCCAGCAGGGATGGAGGGAGAGGATAGACTGGGACACATGAGGCCATGGGGCAACACAGAGCTACAGGGTTGAGCATGTGAGGAGTGCCTTCTGTCCCCAATTCCTGGGCTAGAAGTATAAAATCTTACTTGCTTAACTGCATAACAGCAGGTTTAATAGCACTGCCCGAGCTCAAGACTCTTCTGACATGTAGAAACGACACTTGATAACAGTCCCCACACCAAGAGGAATCTTTTTCTAAGCAAAGAGCTTCACCTTGGATTGCTTCAAGTACCGAAGGAAGCCCAACTCTTCTGGGCGCAAAATGAGCAAGGCATGGCCTCTTCCATTTAGGCCTCTGGCTGTTCTGCCGACACGATGAATATATTCCTTCGGTGGAGAAAGAAACCCGAGTTAATGCATGCTTCCATCTGAGCCTGTCAGCAAGGTCTCTGCATCTCAAGTCTGTACACAGCGACAGACAGAGATGGTGTACACTGAGCTAATGCACTCCCACGTGGCTGGGTCACACACAATTTCATGATCAAGATGGAAAAAAGGCTGGAAACGATGTTTACATTAACACCACGATCCAATGAGTATGTGTACTTCTTTAAGATGGCCTAAAAATAACATGTTTAAATGCAACCTGACAATTTATTATAATCTACTGTCTACTGAAAGTATCTCTCAATGAAGTTTATTCTACTACATATATTACAAAATCTTATCTACCTCCTTAAGCAAATGTTACTTCCATTAGGCCATCTGCTGCTCTTAAAAGAGTATTCTGAAGATCAAACATGCATAACTTAAGTCCCACTGATGCCTCTCAATCCTTCTTATACTCCTCTTTGAGTCCTCTTAGTAACATCAGAGGAATACTGCAGGGTCGGTCACTGTACAGTAGGGTTGAACCTTAAGACCATGGAATGAAGAAACCTGGAAAGCAAGTGCACTCCTTAATGAGAACCATTCTGAAGACACCCCAAGGATGCCAGTTACCTTAGGGTCATCAGGGGGGTCATACTGAACAATCCAGTCAACTTCAGGAATATCCAGCCCTCTAGCTGCCACATCTGTACACAACAATATTCCTGTATCTGCATTGCAGAACTGGAAGAATGTGGTTGTACGTTTATTTTGCTTCTGCCTTCCCTAGAATGAAATAAAAACATCCATTAGAGTTGGAACCCTGAGGCTGGAAAAAAGTCTAGATGTAGAACCCCTGCACTGTGGAGTTGTTATCCTACTTCGTTTCAGGCTTACCCATGTCCCTGGTCTATGCTCCATTTCCCCAACTGGTCTGCAAGCCCCTGGAGGAAGATGGTGTCTCCCACTCCTTTGAAGTCCCTGTCCTTCCACATGTGGCAGAGCTCCCTCTGCACAGGATCCATCAGCCAGTGGTGCTCAAACTACTCAGTGGAAAAGCAGGCCCTCTAATCCCTGTCTATAGGACTTGAAAAGCACAACCTGTTTTTAGTAAGTTCATCATAATCACTTACATGAATGGCCAAGACAGGCAAATCAATGTAGTTCAGCAACTCGTAGTGGTATTTCACCGACTTACAAGATGAAAAGAAGACCATCAGTTTCTTCTTTCTGTTCTTCTTAAGGAATGTAAAGAGTAGAAGGAATCTCTTTTCAGATGGACAAACAACGTATCCCTAGAGATGGTTCAAATGAACAGATACAAATGAATCAGACAGACATTTTCAGCTTCATGAGCCAATGTAATTTGACTGAGAGCACTGATAAACTCAGCATATAAACTATCCTATCATGCCTTACCTATACCATTTTAAAAACTAAAAAACCAACCAAAGGTTTTTAAGCTACATCTAGTTACAGAGAGTATTTTATTCAACAGAAAACTCAATCTTAAAAGCACTCATTTTAACCCTTTGCACTCAGATTTCCCCTGAGGGGACATGAAGAGGCTGCTGGTGATTACACAGGGCAAACATATGCCAATGAAAATTTCTGAAACATGTATGTTTCCTGAAGTTTTCCACTCAAATTGCACAAGAAAGCAAATAAAGAGCTGGAACATATACTAAGATAAATGTAAAAAAACGTTATATAGAAAGAGAATGTGTGAGAAGTGCTTTTACAGTAGTGGACAGACTGAACAATAGATTACATATTAATGTGGGAGGAAGAAAATGAAACTGCATTCTCTGCTTGAATAGAAAAACACCAGGTGGAAGACGTCAAATTACTACTATACAACATGTATGAGTGAACCTGCAATGTATGTCGGTGACTATTTTACATGTTGCCACACGTTAGAGAAATATAAGATATAAAATTTTGATTTGTCATAAATGAGTTCCTCAATATCCAGAATTCCATTATAAAACAAATATCATTACAATAAAATAACTGGTTCCAATGCTATACTATTTAATAAAGTGACTATTTTGTAAAAATGTGAGGTTGAGTTGCTGGTAGGTGATCCGTGAGATGTCTCCAAATGCAAAGGGTTAATCAACTTAGTTTGGATCTGTTACTTCATTTCTACCTTTTCACAGTGACACACAGTGAACCAATCTCCCCATCACCAAACTTGCCTTGCATCTTATTAAGAGATTATTAAAAACATTTTTTGCTGCATATAAAATTGGTAGTGATTAATAATGCTTTCCATGTGATAAGTGGTACTAACCAAAGAGAGCTGATCAAATTTTACAGTTTGTGATATTTTATAACTGAATAATCTAGAACCAATACCCAAGTTCACTATACTTAAAATGGGGTCATATCTGATAAACCCATCATTAGTTGAAAATATCTTAAGTCAAAATGCATTTAATACACCTAACCTATGTAGTTTATAGCCTAGCCTGTTTTAAATATGCTCAGGACACTTACCTCAGCTCACATAGAGTTGGGAAAAACCATCTAACACTAAGCTTATTTTATAATAAAGTGTTGAACATCTCAAGTTTGACGGAATACTGTATTGAAGTATGGCTTCCACTGAATGTGAATCACTTTCCCACCAATGTAAAGTCAAAAAATCTAAAGTTGAACAGTCATAAATGAGGGACTGTCTGTACTTGAAGTAAAAGTTAACTAATTCATTTGCTTTCTTAATGATCCTCCAAACTACATGAAAACCCACCAATTAAGAAGATCCTTATGGTTTCAAGTTACTGACAAAAGTACCTGCTCAAGACCATCCACTGTTGCATTAGCTTTGTCATCATCAACACCAACATACAATGGCTCCTTCTTCAGGGAAATCCTTGCCAGGTCTTCAACTTTTCGAGTTTGTGTGGCAGAAAAAAGCATCGTCTGTCTGCGTGCTGCAACAAATACATATAAAAATAAACCTAATCTTCCAGGGAATCTTTATAATTGCTCCACAACTACCAATATTCCAAGCAGAAATATCAGAAATGAGATATGTAATATGAATCCTTACAGATTCTACAGATACTATAAAATAGGGCAAAAAGGCATATTATCAAACACTTCAGGTCTATAAATTTGAGAAAGTAGATACAATGGACAAATTCTTTGAATGACAAACTACTGAGGAATAAAACAGAAAACTTGAAAGGCCTTAAATCTACTTAAAAAATTTTAGGGGCAAACCCTTCAGGTCCCCTCCCACTGTGGGAGATTTTCTGTCCTCTCAATAAATCCTGCTTTCTTACTTAAAACAAAATTTAGTCAAAATTTTCTTTGTTTTTCTCTGAGTTAGAATCTCACTCTGTCGCCCAGGCTGGAATGCAGTGGTACACTCATGGCCACTGCAGCCTCAACCTGCTGGGCTCAGGAGGTATTTCCACCTCAGCCTTCCAAGTAGCTAGAACTACAGACATGCGCCACTATGCCCAGGTAATTTTTTGATTTATTGTAGAGACTAGGTCTTGCCATGTTGCTCAGGCTGGTCTCGAACCCGAGCTCTGGCAATCCTCTCGCCTCTGCCTCCCAAAGTGATGGTATTACAGGTGTGAGCCACTGCACCCAGCTAGTCAAAATTTTCATGTAAAGAAAATTCCAGGCCCAAATGGATTCTTCTGGTGAATGCTATTAAAATTTTAAGGAAGAAATACCAGTTCTTCACAAACTCTTCAAGAAATCAAAGAGGAGGATTTACTTGCCAACTCATTCTTTGAAGTCAGCCATTAAACTACATAAAAGTTTGGCAAATGACATTACAATAAAATTATGAGCCAATATAATTCACGAGCACAGATGCAAAATTCAAAATGTAATTTTAGCGAAGTGAATCCAGCAATGTAGAAAAAGGAAAATAGATCATGACCAGGTGGGATTTATTCTAGGAATGCAGGGTTGGCTTAACACTTGAAAAAAATCAACCAATTCAATTTACCAAATCAGCAAACTAAAGAAAGAAAATGCAGAGATATAGAAAAAACAGCTGATCATCTATTTCTGATTAAAAACCCTCAACTAACTAGGAACAAAAGGGATCTTCCTCAATCTGATAAAGGGCATGTAGGTAAAACCTACAGCTAATTTCATTTACATAATTACTGGAAAAAGACTAAATGCTTTTCCCTAAAAGCAGGACAAGGATGTCTGCTCTCACCACTTCTATTCGGTATTATACTAGAGGTTATGGTCAGGACAATCAGGCAAGAAAAAAACAGAAGTTAAACTGTCTTTATTTGTATATGACTGCCTATGTAGAAAATCCAAAAGGCTAGGGTCATCTAGAAAATCACACTGAACCACTGTTCAATACAGAAATAATGATCTTGCTAGATACAAGATCAGTATGAAAAATTCAACCATATTTATAGATATGAGAAATGAACTGGATATTGAAATTTTAAATGAAATACTCATTTGACAAAAGAAGTGAAAAAAACCAGTACACCAAAAACTCCCAAATATTATAAAGAGAAATAAAAAACACAGAATGAAGACATACCTTATTATGGGTTACATAACTCCATTGTCTTCCAACAATGATCTCTATTCAACACAACCTTAATCAAGATCTCAGACTTTTCTTTTTTGAGGGGCAGGGAGAAACTGACCCTCAAATTTAACCAAAAGTGCAAAGAAAATTTAACCAAAAGTGCAAAGGACAAGAATAGCCAAAACAACTCTGAAATAGAACAAATTTGGGGTAACATAACCCAATTTCAAGATTTAACAGAACAGTTTAAAATGTTGCAGGTACTTTATAACCAAGGAATGTACAAGTCAAATATAACGCCGAAAGCAACAAGCCTATGACTACTTGAGAGATGTTAGATGAGGGAAGACAGGTAAGAGCTATGTTAAGACCATTTAACTTGGATTGTAATCTCTAAAACAGCAAAACTACTGTATTAACTTACTAGCAAGTCTGATGCCTATTCCAAACTACCTCAAAGGATAACTGACCCAACGATCTCACTTAGCTACGGTAAAGTTCTGGGAGGTATTAGTACTGTTTTCTATAGGAACAATTCATATCTACCTCCAACAGGTACTTTGCAAACCACATACAGATGCCACCTACTTACTTGGTAAAAGTTTAATAATTTGCTTTAATTCCTCTTCAAATCCAACGTCCAAAATACGATCAGCCTCATCAATGACCAGACACTGTAGGTTTTTATACATAAACCCTGGGGTATTCTAACAAAACAAAGGACGAAGAGAAACCGTTAGTTGTCAAGCTTATGTTTCACACAAGACAATGAGACAGGCACTACATAAAAGCGTTCTCCTACCTGCATGTGGTCCAAGAGTCGGCCTGGAGTGGCTACAATGATGTTGATCCCATTAGCAAGTTTCTGTGCTTCAGCAGATCTGTTACTGCCACCCATTATCAACCCGTATGTGTGCACATGGTGAGTCATTAGCTCCTTAAGAACACCAAAAGTCTGCATGGCCAGTTCTCTAGTAGGTGAGAGAATAAGGACCCCTGTTCCTAGAAAGCAAAAAATAACATATGATAAAAGTCAAATCGTGCTTGTCAGCATGAATCCATTAAGAGTTACAATAAACTTCTGGTGAAATAATGGCAGAAACAAGCAGATTAAAATCTTACCATTCCTGGGCATGAACCTTAATTTAACAATGAGTTCAACCGCTGGGATGAGAAAAGCGAGAGTTTTGCCACTGCCTGTTTTTGCAGCTGCTAGAAGATCCCTACATATTAAAAAGGAAAAGAGAAACAAAGACATTTGGCCTACTCATTTACCATGGATTATGTACGCACATTTGAGGCTCTAAGGCTAGAACATGAACAAGGAAGATAAAATTCCTTTCTATATCACTGAACTCAATCACCTGGGTTATATACCTAACTTGGAAATCAGATTTGTGCTACAGAAGTGAATACTTTCCTTCAAACATCAGTAATTAACCTATAGTCTTTAAAGCAAGCTGGTATATGACTCAACACATAGTGCAAAATCAACAGAATACAGTGGTATTTTCTTTACAATCTACTAGCCCTACAAATAGATGCCAATGTGTAAGCACCAGTGTTAATCGTACCTGCCTTCCAAAAGTGGTCTGACACTTTTATGCTGAATTTCAGTCATGTTTGTAAAGCCCATTTCTTGTATTGCCTTCAGAGTGTTTTCATTGACAAGATCAGTTAGGGAAGTAAATGAAGTATCCTCAAAAGCTCCTAAACAACAGACAATTTATCATTAGCAAATTTCTTTAAAAAGTTAATACTGCTACAGTTACAAATTATGTTTAGAAAAGCTTCTCACAGCAATACTAAACCCCAGTCATTCCTATGTGATACTAAGAAAAATACCCTAATACCAGGAGTCCCCCATCCCCAGGCCATGGACTAGTAACTATTCATGGCCTGTTAGGAACCGGGCTGCACACAGCAGGAGGTGAGCAGTGGGTGAGTGGAGATCTGCTTCCTGTCAGATTGGCAGTGGCATGCATTTGATTCTCATAGGAGCACAAACCCTACCGTGAACTGTGCGTGTAAGGGATCTAGGCTGCATGCTCCTTATGAGAATCTAATGCCTGATAAGCCCCTTCCCCTGTGGAAAAACAGTCTTCCACAAAACCGGTCCCTGATGCCAAAAAAGGTTGGAGACCACTGCCCTATATTTTTGAAGTTTCTCCATTGCTGATGGCCATGTGATTTAAAGTGCAGGGTCTACACTAAAATAAAATAAGGGGTAGAGAAGAGGTATAACCAAAGGACTTAATATAAAATAAAAATGCCAAAGCAAGGGAAAAAAGAGTTAAGAGAAAAACGAAATGTTTGAGAAACCTGATGCACAAAGTAAAAACACTGAGCATCTAAGTCTGAAGTCAATTAAAAAAAAATGCTACTCTCACTCCAAAAAGATAACTGAGATGAGTCAGATATAGCCACAGAATATCAGATTGGGCCCACAGATCTAATAGTGCAATCATTCTTCAGCAGAAAGCATCAAAAATCACCTGGGGAGCTCCCCACACTCCATTCACCCAGGCTATAAACTAGGAATTCTTAGCTTGGCACCACTGACATTTTGGGCTGGCTAATTCTTAGTGGTTATAGGCTACTCTATGCATTATAAGATGTCATGTAGCATCCCTGACTTCTACCCATTAGAAGACTACCCTTGGTTCTGACAATCAAAAAATGTCTCCTAAGGGCAGGGTTACCAGCCTTCTCAGTATGCTAGGGACAGAGGAGGTTTCTGGGATTCAAGATCAGTACCAAAACTGGGAAAGTTCGGAGCCAACTGAGATGAGTCAGTCATCCTACCTGAAAGGCAAAATTGTCTTGCTTGAGAACCCTGCCAAAACTTAAAATTTTGATTAAGCCGGTCTAGGGTTGGGCACCAATAATTTAATAAACAACTTAAGTTCTAGACCTTTCTAGTTAGGAATAGCTAATTCTAGTCTAAACTCTTGACTTTATAAAGAAACAAAGCCCAAACGATATTGCTTGACGATATTACTTTTATACTTCCTTCCTATTTATAACTGTATTAAACCTCTGATCTTCAGACTTCTGGGCCAATGGTTTTTCTATTACAACACAAAATGAGCCTTAGAAAAGGCAAACCAAAGAAACAAAGAATCCTAGAACCAGCTTGTGTGCATGTAAAATATTCAGTGTTAGGAATGGAGAAAAAAATATACAGCGAACAACGATAACAAAAACTCCTAAGGCACCACAAAGTAGAAGATAAAGAGAAAAGAATAGCAGAAAGATATAAAAAACTTCTTGTTGATAGTTATTTTTTCCAGGTAAATTGGAAGTCACAACTGAAACTTCAATCCTATAATTCTCTGAGTGGCACATTATTAAGAAGCTATGTCTAGATTACCTGTCAGTCCCAGGGGTAGGCTGGGCACTTCACTGTCTTCTTCATTATCTGGCTTTTCTACATTGTTTTCAGTTTCCACAGGAGTGTTGGCATTTTCTTCTTCAAACTCCCCTTTGTCTTCAGTTTTTGCCTTTTTGGTATCTTTGGTTCAAAAAACAAACCCCCCCCAAATTTTTTCTTAAAGTGAAAATACCAAATAAGATCAACAAAATAAAAGGTCTGTTGTACAAAGACAAATTTTCACAAGCTTAACATATTCAGCATTAGTTAAGAATCCCTTTTCCAGCTGGGGCTCGGTGGCTCAGCCTGTAATCCCGCGCCTTTGGGAGGCTGAAGTGAGTGGACTGCCTGAGCCCGTGGGTTCGAGACCCGCCTGGACAGGCAAGACCTCATCTCTACAATAAATCAAAAACTTAGCTGGGCGTGGTAGCATGCGCCTGTAATTCCGGCTACTAGGAAGGCTGAGGCGGAAGGAATGCCGGAGCACAGCAGGTTGAGGCTGTGGTGGCCGGGAGCGGCCACTGCACTCCAGTCTGGGCGACAGGGTGACTCCGACTCAAAAAAAAAGAATCTCTTCTCCATGAAAAAAGATTTGGTTATACTTAAAAACTCAGGGTACAGACAGATTTGGCAAAAAACCTTATATTTTAGGCTTCTTAATGTATTATTTCATAAATAAAATATTTTTAAAAGATTAAGGCTGGGTGTGGTGGCTCATGCCTATAATCCCAGCACTTTGGGAGGCCAAGACAGAACTGCTTGAGCCTAAGGGTTTGAGATCGGCCTAGGCAACATAGCAGGACCTCAGCTCTATAAAAAAAATAGCCGGGCATGGTGACGCATGCCTGTAATCTCAGCTACTCAGGAGGCTGAGGCTGCAGTGAACCATGACAGTTTTCCAGCTCTCCAGCCTAGGCAACAGAGGAAGACTCTGATTAAAGAAAAATAATAAAATTCAACTAAGCATAAAGATACTAATTAAGTTTCATATAATATACTGAGGAAAAATAGCACACAATTGACATAATTCTTAAAATTCATTACAAGCACTAATTTTTCTTCCCATGTCAACTACCATACATATTCTATAAAAACTACTTTTGTTTTAAATATGAACAAAAAACCCCAAAGACTCTTCATGATACTAGAGAGATTGTAAAGTAAGGGCAACGATCTATTTAGCTGGGTGATATACACTGGATTGCTCCTTTGTTGTCAGCACTGAGGGAGGAAAGAAAGGTAGGGTGTCCTAGCTTCTCATCTCTACATTCACCACTTTTTGTGGTCCTAAACTACCTTTCCAGTTCTACCTCCCATTTCTGTTTGACATTACACTCTGGGTCAAATGGCTTAACTACCATGCTGGGCTTTTATAAAAATGTATGGCAGTTAGTGATGTCTGAATAGTACTGACCTAGACCAGTCCCAGGAATGGCCTCTTCCCTGTATCCTACTGTCAACCTTGCAGGATATAGTCAACTCTATAGAATCCACATGTTGAAAAGCCACAGACTTCATCAGTTGGTCTCTACAGTTTGTTTCCCCTAGAACAGTTCTTAAAGTTTACCCGTAAGGTTAAAACTCCCAGCCCTACATTTCAATGCTTGAGAGCAGAAATGTCACCTCCCTGGGTCTACTCAGAACAGTAATCATAAATGCACTAACAATATTAGGAAAGGATTACAATCACTTTAGTTTCCAAGCAGTGTGAAAACAATTGTATTTCAATAGTTCAAAGCTCCTTTCTAAATGAAACACTTATTTCAGACTAGATACATGAATATGATATATGACGATAACTCAGGGGCTGGCAAACTTTCTATAAAGGGACAAATAATAAATATTTCAGGCTTTGTGGGCCATTTGGTCTGTCAGCATAGAGACATCTAAATGGGCATTGTGGTAATCAAATAAAGCTTTATTTATAAAAATAGGTGGAAGGTTGGATAGTTTGCTGACCGCTATCCTATTCTATCCTATCTCAAAATCTCTGCTTGTACACATCTCAATTAAAATATCCATTCTTTCATCTGAGCTTATTCAAGTTCAATCATCTACAAACAACAGTCCTTCTTTCTCCCTCTGTTCATTCAAATCACATGGATATTAACACCATTTATTCAGACTTTTCCTAAAACTATTTTATATACTTTGTAACTAAGATTCCATTCAAAGAAATTTATGTAGAAAAGGGGCAAAAAAGAGGCAAATTGAAAAAAAATCGAGAAAATAAATAAAAATAAATCACTAATGCAAAGCCCCTAGATACAGAAATGCCTGGGAAGAACCTCCCAGCCCAGTTTCTTTAATATTAGTAATCCTGCAATTGTTGGCAAATAGGTAAACCTAAAATACTATACCTGTTTACATCCTGTTTACCATTAAAAAGCCCAGCTAACTGCCAAGAAGAGCAAATTTCTAGAATTCTGAGGAGAGTCTTATCTATGTGGTGAGATTTTCTTCAAAGTTAATAAGGAAACTAAAAATATAACATATCACTCAATATTTTGAGATAAGCTAAAATGGACACCCCTCTTCCACCAGTAAGACGTTTCCTTCAGTTACCAGGTTAGTCTCTGGTATAGTGGTGAGTACAGAACATTCTTGTATGTGAGGTGCACACAACAGTAATCGAGGAAAGGTGGAATGATAACTGGATGGCTGAAGTTCAGAGAAAATAAAGTACCTACCAGGCACAGCATCATTCACCATTTTTCTCTTTTTCTTCTTCTTTTTCTTCTTTGATTCTGAATTAGGAGACTGCATTGCTGCTTCTCCATTGGTCAATACAATAGATTTCTGAGGGGATTTTTTAAGTTTTACATTTTCCACTGTTTCTTTAGACATGTCTTCATTTTGGGCTTCTGATAAGCCCTCATTAATAGAATGTTTTAGAGATTTTTTAACCTTTCCTCCCCCCATTGTTTCTTCAGACACACCACCATTCTGAGTTTCAGACAGGCTCACATCTGAGGCTCCTGTTTAAAAACAGAACATACACTGTGTCAAAGAAGAAGAGGTTTACTTAGAAACATTGAGATCCCAAATGAGAAATTTCATGGCTTCATTACTCAAATTACTTAGCTCTTTCTCTCTTTCACACACATTATTAAGTCACTTACAATTTTATGGGGTTTCATTACAGGAAAAACAGGTTTCCTTTATTGAAAAATGTTAGAAACTTAAGACCATTTATCTGTCTTTAAGTAGTCTGGGACAGGAAAACTTCAATGAGATCAAATAGTTAAACAAATGGGGTTAGACAATGACAGCTACAAAACAAATATCTTAAGTACTTAATAAACATGACTAATATATTGAAAAAGACATTTACCTCTTATTCACACAACTCCTATTTCTATAGCTTCAACACATTCAACCTCAACTCTCCTAGACTGCAGTTAATAAAAAATTCAGTTGATAAAACTACTTGTTTGTCCCAATATTTATGATATGTAAATACAGTCATGTACTGCATAACGTTTTTGTGCATGATGAACCACATATATGATGGTGGTTTTGTAAGATTATAATGAAGCTGAAAAACTATCCCCTAGTGCCATCAGTGTCCTAGCACAATGCATTAGTCACATGTTTGTGGTGATTACTGGTGTAAACAAACCACCATAACAAACCACACTACACTGCCAGTCACACAACGTGCAGCACATGTAATTATGTACAATACATAAAACTTGATAATAAATCATGGTTACCAGTTTAAACTATTAATCGTTATTTTAGAGTGCACCCCTTTACTTATTTAAAAAGTTAACTGTAAAACAGCCTCAGGCAGCTCCTCCAGAAAAGCCCTGTTATCACATGCTATTGCCCGAAGACCTTCCAGTGGGATAGAAGGTGGAAGGCAGTGATATTGAATGCATTGTGTCCTAGTATTTTTTTTTTTTTTTTATTAATTGGAGTCTCACTCTGTCGCCCAGACTGGAGTGCAGTGGCCGCTCCCGGCCACCGCAGCCTCGATCTGCTGGGATCCGGCGATCCTTCTGCTTCAGCTTTCTGAGTAGCCGGAACTACAGGCGCGCGCTACCACACCCGGCTAATTTTTTTTTTTGATTTATTGTAGAGACAAGGTCTTGCCAAGTTGCCCAGGCGGGTCTTGAACCCGTGGGCTCAGTCAATCCACTCACCTCGGCCTCCCAAAGAGCAGGATTACAGGCTGAGCCACCGAGCCCGGCTGTCTTAGTATTTTAAACAAAAATGTAAAAAAAAAATTTTTTTAAATAGAAAAAAACATAAGTGTATTAGGAAAGAAAATGTTTTCTTACAGCTGCACGATGTGCCTATGTTTTACGCTGTTATTACAGAAGAGTCAAAAAGTTAAAAACTAAAAAGTTTATAAAGTAAAAACTACAGTAAGCTAAGGATACTTTATTTTTTTGTTTGTTTTTTTTTTTTGAGTTGGAGTCTCACTCTGTCGCTCAGACTGGAGTGCAGTGGCCACTCCAGGCCACCGCAGCCTCGACCTACTGGGCTCCGGCGATCCTTCTGCCTCAGCCTTCTGAGTAACCGGAATGACGGGCGCGCGCTACCACTCCCGGCTGATTTTTTGATTTATTGTAGAGATGAGGTCTCACTGCCCAGGCGGGTCTCGAACCCGCGGGCTCAGGCAATTCACTCAACTCAGCCTCCCAAAGGAGGATACTTTATTATTGAAGAAAAAGTATCTTAATGAATGTAGTAAGGCCTAAGTGTGCAGTGTTTATCAAGTCTATGGTAACTTCCTGGGCCTTCACATTCACTCACCTCTCTCTCATTGACTCACCCAGAGCAACATCCAGTCCTGCAAGATCCATTCGGGTTAAGCGCCCTACACAAGTGCACCATTTAAAATCTTTTATACTGTAGTATTTTTATTGTACCTTTTCTATGTTGCACATGTTTGTAGCCCAGGAACGAGAGGCCATAACACATAGCCTAGGTGTGCAGTAGGTTATATCATCTGGTTGTGTAAGTATACCCAATGATGTCTGCACAAGGACAAAATGGCCTAAGGACCCATTTCTCCCAGCCTATCCCTGTCTTTATTGGAGGCACGACTGCACCTGAGAAAACCCTTACCAATGTTGCCCTGTTCATATTTAGAAAAGATAAAACGTAACACCGTCTTTTGTTCGAACTGTTACCTATACCCACATCAAGAAATAGTAATACTGCATTACCGTGAAGGAATTAGAAACATAAGGAAGCTTATTCCTAAAACCCACAAACCTATTGCCTCCCACAGGATTTCTTTCAATTAACGTGATTTCTTTCAATTAACCAACGGCAGTGAGGCAGTTGTTGGGACTTCAACATTTCCTTGGTGGTGGTGGTGGGGCTTCTATCTTAATCTGGACCCAAACGGTTAACACAATTAATTACTTCAAGATCTGAGGTCCACTGTTAGGAAACTGGGACTGCAAGTGAGGAAGAGAAGAAAGACGACATTCATGTAAAACCTTTTTCCTTTACGTCACTGTGCAGGCCTCAAATACCTAGAGGCTCTTAAGACCTCAAGCTGATAGAGATGGGAACATGGGGGCACGAGAAACTGCGTTCAACACGTGCAGAAGACCCCCTCCAGCTGAAACGAGGACGTGGTGCAGGGGTGAGAGCGTGGAGGCGGGTGGAGGGGGGTAGCCGATGCTATCAGAAAAAGCTCCGTGGGAGAGCGAAGCGACCTTAAGGGGTTAGAAATACAGACACTAAACAGATGATGTGTAAGGAAGGTGCGTGGAGATGAGAGGATTCCACGTGCCCGATGGGAAACGCGGGAGGGATGGAGGTGAGGCGGGACCGGAAGGTGAGGGGCCAGAGTGGGCGAGGTGTTCGTGCCAAAGGCAGGTGTAGCCTGGAGGGAGCCCAGCGGCTTCCTGAACTAACCCGGTGAAGAGAAACGGATGCGCAGAAAGATCGGGGGCAGTGGCAGTTCTGGGGCCACGTGGGGCCCGACCGGAGATGGCCCCAGCCCGCCTTTTCACTCCCACACTCGCACGTGCCCTGGGGGCTGCCGCCTCGCCGCCCCGGGTCGCGGGGACTGACTGCACTCAGTCCCGCCGGTCCCGCCGGCCGCCGAGGGCCAGGGCGCGCGCGGGCCTCCTCTGCCGCCGCGAGTCAGCGCAACTCACCCCTGAGCTTTAGATTCCGCTGTCGCAGTTTGAGGTTCCGCTTCTCGATCTTTTTGCGCAGGAGTTTCATCGGCAGGTGAGACATCTTGTCGGAAAAACGCCCAAAGCGCTGCGCCGCAGCTCGGTCCAGCAGCTCTCCCGGCTTACGTCACTTCCGTCCCGGCGGAAAGTGCGCCGCTCAAGCGACCGGAGGTGCGTCACCGGAAAGCCGGCGCCCGGCGGAGCGGAAATGCTGGTCGACGCGAGAAACGCGGTACCCTTGTCGATCAAGTTCGGTGCAGCGCCCCCTTGGGACCTGGAGGTCGATCCCTGCACCGGGTTCACGTGGTGCCGGAGCTGGCTGCGCGTTGGGGGGATCTGGGAGCTTCGGTGGTTTGAGCTTCTCTTAGTTAGTGGCGAAGAAACATCGTGGAGGGGAAGGCGGTCTTAGGGAAACTTCACTTTTGATATTCCTACCGTCTTTGAATCCTGAGTTCCCCATCAGCGGATTCAACGAACTCCCGGATTGAAAATATTCGGGGGAAAAAACTCAATTAAAAAAAATTACAACAATAAGAAATAATGCAATATAACTACTATTTACATAGCATGTACATTGTATTAGGTGTTATAAGTCATCTAGGGGAGATTTAAAAGTATATGGGAGATTGTCGATAGGATATATACAAACACCACTTTTATATCTGGGGCTTGAGCATCCTAAGATTTTGGTATACTCAGGGGGTCCTGGAACCAATCCCCGGTGGATACTGAGAGACGACTGTATTTTGGAAATTGAATGAAATCTACATTATGTATGCATGCATGGGCATTTCCAGGCTTGTTTGATCAATCTCAGAAACACGCTTTCCATGACACTTGGAACACATATATGTAACATTTTTCAAGACAATATTCTTGTTTTTCACTTTGATATTTTTCCTTCAATTTCATCCTGTACTATTCTGTTGTTAGTTTGTTAGAAATACCGAGTACCATGCATTTAAACTAAGGTTACTACATTATAAATAGTTTGCAGTTTGAAAAGCAGAGGTTTATTTATTCCCTAAACATGCCCGTAGACCCTTCAGGAGTACACAATGGAAATTTCTGTCTGACTAGCTAGTAGTCATCTTTTTTGAGGGGAAAATAAGGGGATGGAGAGAATGTTTAATTTTTTTTTTTAAAGTCGTAGTCTCACTGTCACCCAGGCTGGAGTGTAATGGCACACTCACGGCCACTGGAGCCTCGAACGGCTGAGCTCAGGTGATCTTTCCGCCTCAGCCTTCCAAGTAGCTGGAACCACACGCGTGCCACCGTACCAGGCTAATTATTCGATTTATTGTAAAGGCAAGGTCTCTCTAAGTTGCCCAGGCTGGTCTCCAACCCTTGGGATCAGGCAATCCTCTTACCTCCACCTCCCAAAGTGCTGGGTTTACAGGCATGAGCCACTGCTCTTGGCTTGTTTAATTTTTTAAAAATTGTTACCAACATTAAACAATTGGTAGAGTTTAATAAAAATTCATATTTTCTTTAAAAATTGGCCCGATGGCTCAAATTCTCCCTGAAAATAATCAATTTAAGCTGAACATCAACTGGAAGAGTCCCCGAAACCTGGGTTAATTTGTTTACTCAGAGTGACAGGACATGAGACCCTAGGGATTAGATATGATTATGAGAAGGAAAGGAGAGGGAGAAAACTTGGGAGGGAGTTTACATGGAATTTAAAAGCTAACTGAGAAATCACATTGTATTAAATTGGAAAACCAAGACAAGCCAACAAATCATGATGTACTTATATTAAGTTGTTACTGGTCAGATAGGCTGAGGAATGAGTCAGAAATTTAAAATGGCACACACAGATAGAAACTTATAATTTATCTCAGCTTAAATATATATGTCAGTTCAAGTTTGTATATTATATATAAGTTCATATACATATATACACATATCTATTTCTATCTCTGTATATACATGCATATATAGTCACATGATTACATTCCTGAGCATTGAGTCTGTGACTGAAATTTACATCTATATCTCATAGGTACAACAACAAACTTGTCTTCCATATAGAAAGTGCTCAAAAATTATTTCCTTCTGTGGTAACTTAAATTTGTGGGGCTAGTAATGCTTTGGTAGTAGTAATGGAAGGATACTCCCTTTTCTCTGGAGTGTGACCTTTTCCCAGTGAATGGAATTGGCAGAGTCATCTCCATGAGACCAGAAAACCCACATTCGTGATATGTTCAAGACATTTTGATCAGAGATGATCTCTTGAGATACATGGAAATGCTTAGTTTTGGGAATTGATAACTTTTAAAGAATCACAGATAAGCTACTGATACCAATCTTCTGGATTTTTGGAAGAAGAATGAGAAATTGCAACCTTGCAGCAACTCTTAAAATTGAGATTGAGAGTGCTTTTAAACAGAGTAAATTTCTAAGACCACGTTAGCCGTTACTTTAGCAAACAAATAAATACCACCAGGTTTCATACCCAGAAGGTATATGTGAGGGTATTAGGAGGTAACATTCATGTGCTTCTGAAAATTCTGTTGTCCCTCCCTGCTAGAACCTATCCCAGTTATCTCTTCAGTATACGTTTAAGTCTTTAAAACTTGCTTGGGATCCCCATCACAGAGATCCCTTTCCTTAGAATATAATCAGCCACCAATTCTCCACTCATTTGGCAATTATTTTTTTGAGCATTTTTGCCCTGAGTGGGTGACAAGTGTGTGCTAAATAATGGGGATACAATGGTGGACAAGACAGACCCGGCTCACCTTTGTGGAGCTCTGTAAGCTTTAAAAAATTAAAGAAAATTAAAGAAAACTTAAATTATGGTGGATACAATGAAAGGGAGGCACATGACAGGAGCAGCATCCCAGTCTGAGAGTGAGGCTGGGGGGGTGGGTGGAGCCTTCCATTCAACACCCTTAGCTAACAGTAGGCAGAAGAGGGAAGGAAGATGATGCCTCTTGCTTCCCAACTAAAGCATATTTAAATTTAACGTACACTAGGTCTCATGCATGCTGTTTTTTCAATTGTCACTTGAAATCCTTAAATCTGAGGCAGGTGCTTGTAAACTAAAAAGCAGATTTGTGTCATTTCTTTTCATCCAAATAAAAAACACCCCACTTCACCGGGAAATCAGTCTATTTTACCAACATCTTAGACTTGTGAGCCAGAAATAACTGACTCATCCTCTCCAATCACTGCATTAGGATTCTTGGAGTGATTTTCTAGGAACATTCAAATGCTATTTTCTATAAGGCTAACCACCCTCCAGCATAAAGGAACTTTAAAAGAATTGTATTATTGTAAATAAGCAGGGTGTTGCTTCCTTGACATGGCCCGACTTTCTGGATAAGACTCTGACTTAGTCGGACTCGGTGGCTCAGCCAGTAATCCCGCGCCTTTGGGAGGCTGAGGTGAGTGAATTGCCTGAGCCCGCGGGTTCGAGACCCGCCTAGGCAGCGAGACCTCATCTCTGCAATAATTCAAAAAATTAGCCGGGCGTGGTAGCGCTCACCTGTGATTCCGGCTACTCGGAAGGCTGAGGCGGAAGGATCGCCAGAGCCCAGCAGGTCGAGGCTGCGAGGGCCAGGAGCGGCCACTGCACTCCAGTCTGGGCGACAGAGTGAGACTCCAACTCAAAAAAAATAAAAATAAAAATAAAAAATAAAATAAAAAAGACTCTGACTTGTAGAAAGTAGATGGGATATACTTAAGAAATGTCTTCTTCAGTGACCTGATGCATATAAGAATGAGAGATCATTTAAAGAGCCACCACCATAATTCACCACAAGTCATTATTATTGCAGTGATCCTAGGAGCTGGAGAGGGCACAGAAGCATATAACAGAAAGCTCTCTTTCAAGAAATTTATGTATTTATTAATTTTAAAACATCATCTACTCTGTGCCAGGTACTATTTGGGGATGTAGGGATCAGCATTGAACAAGAGAGGAAAAGGCCTGGTTTCCAGGGGGCTTTCTGCCTAGATAAGGGAAGACAGATATAGTTGAACAAGTGAGTGAACAAGATAAATTTACATGGAGCTAAATGCTGGGAAGATGTTACAACAAGACAATGTAATAAAGAGAGGGATGGGTGGGTGCTGGGAGACAGCATGCTACTCAGCATGGGAGGTATATTTTGTGAAGATAAAATGGAGACAAAGATCTGAGGTCAGAAAAAGGGCTGGCAAAGACCCATCTTAATATGCTATTTTTTTTTTGAGTTGGAGTCTCACTCTGTCGCCCAGACTGGAGTGCAGTGGCCGCTCCCGGCCACCGCAGCCTCGACCTGCTGGGCTCCGGCGATCCTTCCGCCTCAGCCTTCCTAGTAGCCGGAATCACAGGTGCGCGCTACCACACCTGGTTCATTTATTTATTTATTTATTGTAGAGATGAGGTCTCGCCAAGTTGCCCAGGCGGGTCTCGAACCCGCGGGCTCAGGCAATCCACTCACCTCAGCCTCCCAAAGGCGCGGGATGACAGGCTGAGACACCGAGCCGGTTAATATGCTATTAATTAACAAGACAGGAAAGCAAGCGATTTGTAACCAGAAGAATAAGAACAGGAGGGAGAGAGAGAGTCTAGGGGTTGGGCCAGGCTTTCAGAGTGAGAACATAAAAAAGACAATTATTTTTTTGACCACATACCCTTTAAGTCATACAGTCTGACCGCTGATGATTGAATCCTAGACTGACTCTTGTCCAGTAGGTTGGGGAAATAAGAGTTTGGAATTGGATTTATTTGAATATACCTTTTATGAGGAACAATTTTAGACTTACAAAAAGTTGCAGAGGTCGCACCCTGCACCCAGTTTTCTGTAATGCTCACGACTTGTGTAGCCATAATACATTTGTCAAAACGAAGACATTGGCATTAGTAAGTTATAATTTCTGATAACTAAATTAGACTTTATTCAGATTTCACCAGTTTTCCCATTAATGTCCTTTTTTCCATTAATGTATCTGATTCAGCGTACCACATTGCATGTAGAAAATTTTCTGAAATATGATTTTTACCATTTCCTAGACAACCTGCATTTGGGAATAAATGAGAAAAATGATATCAGTCAGAAGCTAACTTTTACCACTTAGTCCTTAACACTTTTTTTTTACTGGTT